TAAAAGGCATAGGCACAAACACATGGACCCAGCAATGGCTCCTGACCAGGGGGGAGGAGTGAGCCCCACAAGCCCAGGAAGTGGAGACCAGGGAGGAAGAGCAGGGACTCCCCAACATGCTCTCTGAGCTCCAGGCCCAGAGAATGATTTGGAGATCAACAGTGAAGTCCACAAATCCTAATTCTGAATTTTACAACCTCTCCCCTGACAGTTACCTAACTTTGTTTCCAGCTTTCTTTACCCACTTCTTCCATTCTGAAAGACTTCTGGATCATTCACTAAAGCTGCCTTCCAGATGTCTTGTGGAGTTGGCATCAGGGCCGGGCAGCAGAGGGATTTCACACATTCTGTGTGGCACACGGTGGGAGTCACAGGGAGGCCTATACCAATTCCATACAAGGAAAACTTAGGAACTGTTAAAAATAACCATTACGGAAATGCATGGCTTCTGGAAGGAGTGAGCTTCCTATTACCAGAGGTATACAAGCCCTGTTCTGTAGAGGCATGAGTTCAAGAAATGGTGGTTGTTTTTATGATTATTAATTTAGAGTGTTTTTTAAACATTTATTTATTTTTAGTAATCTGTATACCCAACACAAGGCTCAAACTCATGACACCTAGATGACTCTTGAGTCATAGGTTCTTCAGACTGAGCCAGTTAGGCACTCCTAATTTAGGGGTTTTAAACCTCAGAGCAGAGGGGGAGGCATAGATGGGAGAAGGAAGTAAACAGAAGCAAGGGATCAGATTACGATGGGCTCCAACAAAGTTCTCTCTCTCTCTCTCTCTCTCTCTCTCTCTCTCTATTTATTTATTTAAATGTTTTATTTATTTCTGAGAAAGAGAGCAAGAGCAGGGGAGGGGCAGAGAGAGAGGGAACAGAGGATCCAAAATGGGCTCCTCCCTGACAGCAGTGAGCCCGATGCAGGCCTTGAACCCACAAACAGTAAGATCATGACCTGAGCCAAAGTCGGAAGCTCAATTGAATGAGCCACCCCAGGCGCCCCAAAGTACTCTCTTTTTAAAAGTGGAAAAGTCTTTGAGCTTTTTATTGAACAGGAAGTGGCAAGAAGGTTCCTCTTCAGCTGGGCATCAAATATACCTCTCCTATTAATCTTCCTGAGAGAGGTGACTAGGTGTCCACACTCAGGGTCCATGAATAGATATTTCTAATACCTCCATTTTTGCTAAGAGGACTGGGGGCTCAGAGAGGTTAAGTAATTTGCCCAAGGTCACATTGCAACTGAGTAGACAAGGGAACAGCCAACCCCAACCATTGTAAAACACTGAAAGTACTTAAAAACTAAAGCCCATCTAGTTCAGTGGTTCTCAAACTTTGCCCTAAGAACAAGCTAAAACTAAACTGCTTGGATGGTTTTTAGTAACTTACACGTTAACAAAATACCTCTGGAGATGCAGGCAGGTGTGAGTTTGATGGTGGTGAAGCCCCAGATCCTAGAGTCCCACTCTAAGGTTTAATGTCCTGTAGTACTTACTATACTCATTAGTTTTCTGATTTTCCATCTGGAAAATGGTGATATTAATAGCATGAGTTGTAAAAAACTCTTGAGTTGAATACAATATATTCAATATAATAAAATAATAAACAATAAAATCATTTCACGTATTTAATATAACCTATAATATGGGGGGCCCTGGCTGATTCAGTCTGTGGAGCATGCAACTCTTGATCTTGGGTTGTGGGTTTAGGCCCCATGTTGAGTATAGAGATTACTTAAAAATAAAATTTTAAGGGGCGCCTGGCTGGCTCAGTCAGTAGAGCATATGACTCTTAATCTCAAGGTCATGAGTTCAACCCCCATGATGGCCATGGAGCCTACTTAAAACAATATTTAGGAGCACCTGGGTGGCTCAGTTGGTTAAGCGTTGGACTCTTGATTTCGGCTCAGGTCATGATCCCAGGGTCATGGGATGGAGCCCCACATTGGGTTCCACGCTGAGCATGGAGCCTGCTTGAGATTCTCTATCTCTCCCTCTGTCCCTCTCCCCTGCTCTCAATCTCTTTCTCTCAAATTAAAAAGAAGAAATATTAAAAAAAATAAAATAGGGGTGCCTACGTGACTCCACCAGTTAAGCACTGGATTTTGGCTCAGGTCAGTATTTCACAGTCTGTGTATTTGATCCCCGTGTCAGGCTCTGTGCTGACAGCCTATAGCCTGCTTCGGATTCTGTGATTCCCTCTCTCTCTGCCCCTCCGCAGCTCATGTTCTATCTCTCTCTCTCTCTCAAAAATAAATAAACATTAAAAAAAAAAAGAAAATTAAATTTAAAAAGTAAATAAATTTTTAAAGAATCTTAAAATAAAATAAAAACTTAAATATATAACAAGTATATAACAATTTTAATAAAATATATCAATTATATGTAATATATATTAAATCATACATGTTATATTTGCATATTATGTACTTATTTACAATATATAAATTACTTAATAATAAAGGGTTTAAAATAGCACTTGTCATTAGTAAGTACTACTTAAGCATTAGCTTTTTTTCACTCCATCTTACCAGGAGCTTGCTACCCGATCTCCAAGGGCAGCTTGGGCCATCTTTGGTCAGCCCTGGGCTGTGCCCACAGCCACAGCGGCAGGATGCAGCAACATTTTCAGTTGGAGCTCTATAGGCTCACGCACAGAGTTGACTGAAAAAATTCTATTTGGATTTTTTTTTTTGATATAAACTCCCAAAGGCTGAGAGCACACGTCCCTGGCCCCTAGGGGGAGCTACGCGTGGAGTTTGGAAGCACCGCCGGGCTGGGCAGCTTGGGTTTCAAACAGGATTCTCTCTCTAATGGTTAGTCTGGGTGGAGTTGGTGCATCTCAGGTCCCGGCTGGTGGGGAAAAGTTACTAACGACAGGCCCTTCAGGGCTATAGGACCTAGGGCCGGAAGCAGGGATTGCCCAGATGCCTCCCCTCCAAGTCTGGATAATATTTTTATTTTTTCTGCTCTGTGCATGTGGTAGGATTCAAACTGCAGAGAATTAGAAGGAGGGGGGGAGGGGCATGATGGAGGAGTTGGAGGAAGGAAACGTGGCCTCATCCCAACTCCAAAGCCCCCTGCTAAACTGCCACTCCCAGATCCCATTGTTCCTTCTAAATCAGCAAATCTCTCCTTCCAGCTTCCAGCCTCTTCCCCTTTCAGACGTGGCCTCCCTCAGGCCCCACCAGCTTCCAAATGTTGTGTACCCAATTCTGTCTGAGCAAGGATTCTTCAGACCCAAGCACATCTTATTCATTAAACATGCTTCAAATAGGAGTTTCCTGTGCACCTAATCCCGTGAGAGTCCCTGGGGTGTTGACAAAGTGACTTAAACAGACACCAACTTTGCTCTCAGGGTGCTCATTGGCTGGGGTGGGGACAAGGACAAACAGGTCAATACATAAACAAACTAGGTGATTTCAGATACTTTAGTAATCAGAATTCCAAAAGAAATAAAGTAGGGTGAGATGATGGAATATGAGATAGGGGCTACTTTAGACAGAAAGGAAAGGTCTGTCTTGGGAGGTGGCATTTGAACACAGATGGTAAGGAGAAGGAGTAACAAGTACAAAAAACATCAAAGAAACAAGCCCAGTGAGGTGAGATTTCAAATTCCAACTTGCCTAGTCTTCAAGAAAACGCCCAGAAAGGCCTCTGAGGAATCCCAGAGACTTTGGGGAGGAAGGGGCCTTAAGGTTGATCCCATAATGTGGGGGGTGTGGAGGAGCGCCCTCTAGTGGTGACAATAGTTAAATTTCATCATCGCTGACCTGGAATGCCACATGCCTGTGATTTGACTGGGCTAATTATGAGCTTCACTCATCACTGTCTCTCCCACATCTATTCATTCAACAGATACTTACTGAGCGCCACCTACGTGCCTAGTGCTATTCTAGATACTGGGGTACACTTGTGAACCCGACAGTAAATGTCCCTGTCCTCCCAGAGCCTAGACCTCTAACCCCACCTCACCTCTGCCTCCACTTCAGGGTCTTTGCACTTGCTATTGTCCCCTGAATACAGGCTCCTGGCTTTTTGCATCGCTGGCTCAGGTCTCATTTCAAATGTGACCAAGTCAGAAAAGTGTAAACTTATTAATTTATTGCCTGTTGTCCCCACTAAAATATGATTCCAGTAAGGTTACCATTTTCCTGGAATCCCTCAGTCTCGCACTTACTAGGCGCTCAGTAAACAGTTTCTGAATGGGTTTGAGCATTCATTCATTCAAAAAATATTTATCGGGTGCCAGCCAACCTACTACACATCAGACGCTGGTGACCCGTCAAATGAACGGATTGAACAAAACAGACCAAAACTCCCCGACCACAGCATTCTTAAATAAAAATTGCAACCCGGGCACTACTCATCCCCTTTACCCTGCTTTTTTTTTTTTTTTTTTTCCCGAATACATTTATCACCCTCTAAACTATCATAATTTTACTCCTTGGTGTTTGTGTGTCTTCCCTCTAGAATATAAGCGCCACGAAGGCAGGGGATTTTGTCCATGTTGTTCACCCCTGAGCGACTAAACAAGTTGGCACCTGGTAGGTGCTCAGTAAGTAAAGACCGAATGAACTCTAGACCTCAGCCAGCTTTTTCCTACAGACCTTGAGCCACTTAGTTCCAAGGGGGAACGGGCCTCAGGAGGTGCCGAGAGGTGACCTCAGGTGGCCCGACTCAGGAGTCCGAGCTCTGGGCGAGGGGCCATCGGAGCAGCTGAGACGGGAGGCGCGGGCAGCGAGAGCTCGACACGGCCCTGAGGGCCTGGAGAGCTGCCAGAAAGAGGAGCAAAGGCTTGTAACCCGCGCCGGAGACGGTGGGCGGTGCCGTCGGAGGGCACGAGTCACATGACTTGCGCCGGTACCTCCCACCTCCTCGTGGGCGGGGTGTCAGGAATGGGCGGGGCCGTGCTAATGAGCCCAAGGGGGCGGCCAATCGCGGCGCGCGCCGAGGGTCCGGACCAAGGATCTTGGACGCCGGCTACCGCGCAGGCTCGCGTCGGGGCCGTCCCGGGCTTTTGCAAGCGGCGCGGCGGGCCTGCGAGTTGGGGCTGCAGCAGCTTCCTCGACCTGCCTCTCGTGCTTGGCGGCCGTCTGGGTCAGGCCCGGCCCGCGCGGGGGGCAGGCGGCGTCTGCCTCAGGCGGAGGCGGAGGTGCGGCGGAGGGTGGGGGCCGCTGCCTTCGCAGGCGCCCGGGCCGGCCCGCGCCTTTGCACGGTGCTCCATGCATCCGGAGCCCGCCCCGCCCCCGAACAACAACAGCCCCGAGCTTCCCCTCAGCGGCGGCAGCACCACCAGCGGCAGCCGCCGGAGCCGCCGCCGCAGCGGGGACGGGGAGACCCCGGGGTCGTCGCCGCCGCCAGCCGCCGTCACCTACCCGGACTGGATCGGCCAGAGTTACTCCGAGGTGATGAGCCTCAACGAGCACTCGATGCAGGCGCTGTCCTGGCGCAAGCTTTACTTGAGCCGTGCCAAGCTCAAAGCCTCTAGCCGGACCTCTGCTCTGCTCTCCGGCTTCGCCATGGTGAGCTCGGGCCGCCCTGCCCTGCCCCCTCTCCTGTCCTGGCCGCTCCCGCCCGCAGCCCCGACGGTGCCCACAGGGAGCAAGCTGGGCGGGCCGGGAGGGCAGGGGATGCGGGAAAGATCTGGGAGAAAGGTGTTGTGAACGCTGGGGGGTGGGAAGTCCAGAGTGCTGGACGTGAGGAAAAGTGGGCGACAAGTGACACCTGGTGTGGGAGATTGGGTGTCATAGAAATTGTCCAGGGTTGGGGGGCTCAGGTGTCTTCAAATGGGCAAGTTTGATGCAGCAAATAGGGAGGAAAGAGCAGTATCTTAGAAGTGGATCTGTAGGAAGACAGTCCCACATATGTTCAGGGGGAAAGGAAGGACGGAAAGGGTGTGATCTCCTTGGGAGCAGGTGTCAAGAGGTGGAGAGGGACCCTCGAGCTGTCTCTCACATGACCTCATACTTGAGGCCAAAAGGTATTGGCCATGTCCTTTTATCACCTACTGGAGGGGATTTCCTGACAACCTTTCTCCCACTGCATTTTCCGAGAGCCTCAGCCTGGGGTTTTGACAACCGCTCTCCACCCTCAGTCTACTCTTCAGAAACTTGCCACTGAGTCACTGGGTGTGGGGGAGGCCGGTGGGACATATTCCCCATGAATGGGCTTTCAGCTGATCTGGGGGGTCAGGCATAGTTTCCTCTTCCCATGCAAGGCTGGGCTGCAGCGAGAAGCCTCTGAGAGCCGGTGTAGGTGAGGCTGCAGGTTGGACCAAGAAGTGGCCCTGAGGATGCCTTCAGGCCTGGAGTCTCCCAGGGCGGGGCCTACAGAACAATTCCTGATTATCACTGTGTGACATCAACCGGTGTGAGTGGGGTCTCCCCCCCGCCCCAACAAGGTCCCTAGCCCAGAGCACTCCCGCCTCCCCAGGGAGTAAGCTAAGCTCTTGGCCTTGAGGGAGGGAGTGGCTGCACCCTCGTGTTTTCTTGGGAGTGTGTCTGGTACTCTCCCTGTGTTCCACAAACAAGTGGGCCGACGCAATGGAGCCTGAACTTTTTAGAAGCCCTGAGCAAGCCCAGAGCACACGGGGCCTCAGTGGAAAAGCCAGGTGGTCCGGTGGGGAAGAGCTCTCCCTAGGTCTGCCACTGCCTGGGTGACCTGAGACACATTTCTCTCTGGATCTTGATTTCTGAATCAGTAAATGAAGGCTGCTATTTAGAAGTATCTCTAAGAATTAGGGGTGCCTGGGTGGCTCAGTCGGTTGGGCGTCCGACTTCAGCTCAGGTCGTATCTCACAGCTCCGCTCACGAGTCGCAGCCCCTTGTCGCCCTCTGTGCTGACAGCTCAGAGCCTGGAACCTGCTTCAGATTCTGTGTCTCCCTCTCTCTGCCCCTCCCCCACTTGTGCTCTGTGTTTATAATGAATAAACATTTTTAAAAATTAAAAAGAAAAAAAAAAGAATTAAATCGAGGAAGCCCTTGAGAGGAGAGGAGAGAATGTGTGTGTTTGTGTGAGGGAGTGGCACCCTAGTGTTTAGTTTAGGTCATATGATGGAATTCTGTTCTGTCATTCCCAGATCCTTGGAGACAAGTCTGAGCCTTTTGCCTGAAGAATCTTTAAGACTAGCTGACATTTACCAATCACTCACCCTGTACTAGGCATCCTGTAGGTTCCCTAAACTTCCACACTAATTCCTCAACTACCCTTTCAGGTGGTTTTGCCACAGAACTTTCCCAAGGCGATACGGTACTCTACTAGAGCAGGATTTGAATCTGAGTCTGCAGGCTCAGAACTGTCTTGGGCACTTGTGCCTTTTGTGAGTATGTGGAGTTCTGACCAACGTCCAGCCAGGGACATGTTCGACCAGGACTCCTGGGAGATGGGAAATAGAGCAGGAAAGTTTCTTCTAAGCAAAATAAAAACATTACAGTTTGGGGGCAGGGCGTGACACCATTAGCTTCTCACAGCTGTGCACTGGATTTAAGATGGTGGCATACCTGTTCGCCTTTTTCTTGGGGTCATAAATTCATAACTGCCCAGCCCCCATCCCACTTCGGGAGAACTGAGGATCTAATGGGTAGCACTCTCCTGCCCTCTGGAGTCCTGTTAAGCCTGGAGAAGCTAGCCTCTCAATCAGATGGCACCTTCCTCTTCCTCCTGCTAAGAATATGGTGCAGGAAGTCAGGAAGCAGGGCAGCCAGTGGCATTGGGTGGGCCTTGGCTCATCCAGACTATATCTTGGGGACCTGTATTTCCCTGGTCTGGGGGTGCCTGGCTGGCTCAGTTGGAAGAGCATGCCACTCTTGATCTCGGGGTTGTGAGTTCGAGCCCCATGTTAAGTGTAAAGATTACTTTAAAAAAAAAAACTACAAAAGAAAAATCTTTATATTTTCCCTGGTCAGGGTGGAGAAGGCTTCCTGGCTCCACAGATGAACTCCCCAAAGTTCTTCTGACAGGGAGGGGTGAGCCCCATCACAGCCTGTGTTCTGGGACAGTGGTTACAAGGGGGCAACTGTTGTGAGTCTGTAAATCTATGGGAGAAATGGAGTTGGCCTGGACAGACAGATCGAAGAGGCAGGCAGGTCTACCTTGCTCCACTCCCCACTACAGACACCCAGCCTTGTGAGTGAGCCTCTGAGAGGAAGGGGTGCCACACAGCCCGGCACCATGGAAACAGTGGCAAGTTTCCTGGACTACTCTCCCTTGGCCCGTGAGTCAGCACAACCAACTTCCTGCCCCCAGAGGGCTTCCTTCCTAGAGACATGGAAAACCAGAGGCACTGATGTGACCTCCGATCTCCAAAGGTAGGAGAGTTGGCAAGGCTACCAGGCTCACCTGCTCAGCAGGTGAGATTGAGGGAGGGTCTCTGAAGAGCCCGGAGGGGATTGAGAGACTCCCCCCTTGTGGGCCGAAGGGCCTGGCCAGGTGCCCTGATGTGCTGGGGAGATAGGCTGCAGGATCTCAGATAAGCGGCTTATATTCTTTGAAGCCAGTTTCCTCATGTGGACAAAACGGGTACCTATCCTGCTCTCGTCTTGCATGAGGATTTGTTATGAGTCCTGACTGAGCCCACCAGAGGTTGAGGAATTGTCAGAATCTGATTGTACATACCGTAGCTGGACCCTCTGTCGTCTGCAAACAAGAATCCTACTCCTGACAGCGTTTCTAGAAACAACATGCCTTTGCTAGGCTCAGCATCCGGACTCCCTAAACCAGGGGCCCTGGATACATAGCACATGATCAGCATCCTGCAGGAGCTCCTGGAGATGAGGGTATGACTCAAGTCACCTGTGCCTCAGTTTATCTAAGTGAGAGGCAGCCCCCTCGGCCTGACCCTGTGCCTTGTGGGACCATGGCAAGCACACTGGCAATCTTGGTTTGCTGCGGAGGGCAGGCTGTAACGTTAGCCTAAGCAGAAGATAATTGGGAAGGTCAGCTTGTTGCCGTAAACAAAATGCTTTCCACAACCTGGGATCAATTATTTTTGGATTATCTGCCTCCTCAAGTTCTCTGCCCGCCAGCACCCTTTTGTTCCCGGGTCCCAGAACGGGTTCAGAAGTTGCTTGGAATGTCTGTGAAAATGAGTTGGAAGGAAGGGCTGAAATCATAAGACATTGAGCCTCTGGGATATGTTGTTCAGAGTTCAGGGGGGCATGGAGACGAGTAAGAAATAACTGTTACTACTCATAGTGCTAATTACTAAATAGTAATCATTGCTTTTGTTGATTGGGCTCTTGCAGTAGGCCAGGCGTTGTGCTAAGTGTTTTATTTGCACCATCTCTTGTGATCTTCACACGATCTGTGGAGGGCAGGCGAGGGCAGGTGCTTTGTCCAAGGTGGATAATTTGGCTGGGATTGCTTGGCTGGTGAGCTGCAGAGCCCTGTGACCCTGGGGTGGCCCCATCGCTAGGGGGAAACACCGGGAGTGGTAGGAGGACAGAGCTCGAGGCCCGAATACGGCAGAGCAAAGAAAGAACAAGGACTCTGGAGCCAGACAACTTGGGTTTAAATCCCGGCTTTACCGCTTACAACTGTGAGGTCCTGGGGAAGTCACTTAATGTCTCGGGGCCTTCGCTTCCTTACCTGTAAAATGAGGATAATGGCAGTACCTGCCTCACAGAGTTGGTGTGAGGGTTCATTGCGTTAGTACTTGCAAAGCACTTAGAACATACCTGGCCCAGGTTTTCAAGAATCTTGCTCACCCTTGTTCCCATGGGACTACTTTGGTAAGGGTTAACTGATTTCTTTTTCTTTTTTTTTTTTTTTTTAAGTTATCTCTATACCCAACGTGGGGCTTGAACTTACAACCCCACCATCAAGAGTTGAACGCTCTACCCACTGAGCCAGCCAGCCAGGCGCCCCAGGGGTGAACTGATTCCAAAGAGTGTGATTCCAGAGGTGATAGAGTCAGAGCTCGGGAAGAACCCTCCTATCAGAGGAAGTGTTGGGAGCAAAGTTACAAAATGGGAAATTTAGGGTCTCAGAGAAAGGTGGCGGGGCAGGTGTGGCTGGAGTTGAGGGTGTGTAGGGAGTAGTTGAGAAAGGTGAATCTAGTCAGGTAAGGTGTTGCTTGGCTTTGACTGGCTGTTTTGGAAATCTGAATTCTTGTGTAGGCAGTGGGAGGCATTAAGGTTTTGGAGGAGAGGAGTTGTGTGATGAATTCTAGAATAATCTTGATGATGTTACTACTATTTACTAACCACTAGATATGAATGACCCTGGACCCTTTTCTTTCATTCTTATTTTATCCTCAGATCAACTCTTTTTTTTTTTTAAGTTTATTTATTTTTGAAAGAGAGAGAGAGAGAAAGAGCTCGAGTGGGGGAGGGGCAGAGAGAGAATCTCTAGCTATCAGTGCTGGGCTCAAACTCCCTAGCCATGAACCATGAGATCATAACCAGAACCAAAATCAAGAGTCAGACACTTAACCCAACTGAGCCACCCAGGCCCCCCTCCTCAGACCAACTCTAAAAGATATTTACTATAGATAGAAAAACTAAGGCTCTTAGAAACATAGAAG